ATTTTTTACATGATATCGTGACTTTGTTTTTTGAACTCCTAGACACGACAAAAGTGTGGTTATTTTGGAAATACACTTTTAAAATATGGTTATGTGCCGTTAAACTCCACGATCATTAAAATATATATTTCTGATAGAATAGAATAGTGAAATAGTGTGCAAGATAAAAAATAAAAAAAACTCTTAGACCCACCTGCAATATTCTACCTCTTCCTTCGTAGTTCGTACACACACCCTAACCTTCACTCCGTGCGACGGAGCCAGACCACATGGTGGCCGGCACGCGTCTATTTGCACTGGTTGGTGCATCATTAACTGTGTATGATTGTCGTTTACGCTCTGACGCGCAGGTCTTTTTAATTCAAGAGCAGGGATGCAGCTAGAAGCTTCTATTTGAGGTGCTATTCTGAATGACTTTCCCTGTCCATAGTCTTTAATTTCATACTCTTACCACGCGCCGGTTGGGACTCCAATTAACGTAGGTAGGTATTGTTGGTTCTCTTGGAGATGCATAAATTGGTTATTTTTTTTATTTTTTATGAGATTTGAGACTTTCCTCTATAGAAAAAAGAAGCAAACAGACTGATAGAAAAAATTACTAGAATAATATTCACTTCCGTATAACACACGGTAATATTACCCACTGGAGATCATTTAGTCGGGCGTATTTCACAATATAAAGTTAAATTGAGTGGTGTAAGATATATGCATGTGGATATCATGTAGCCCCATCAAAGGCCAACATAACTACCGGGTTGAGATTAGTAGATTAGTATAAAGGCACATGTATATACGACTGTAAAGATATGCAAAGAGACTTTAAAACAAAACATTTTCTAAAAACATCATTAAAATGTCAGAATTTTGACTTAGGATAAAAATTAAAATGAATTATAAGCTGAAATGGAGGGATATAGTGAAATCCATTGTGTTTTAATACATTTTAAGCAGCATGAAATCAATTTGCCCATTTAGCAATCAACCAATAGCTAGGATTCACTATACCAGTAAATTAGCAGGAAATACATATGATTAATTACTATTTTTTTTAAGGATCTGAGGGCATCAACGTGATCAAGGTGCTTAGCATTTACCACTAGTTTTAACTTGTACAAAATCGTTATTTTTAAAACTTTCCTCCCTCAGGTTACCTAAACGAGTTCTATATCGATTAGTACAATCATTATTTTCGTTAAAGTTTAAGTAAATAGGAGCTTATGAATACCTGATTGATAGGCCTATGACCTATGTTCTAACCTACTCCCTCCGGTTTCATCATTATTGGCCTTTTGAAAGAGGTTAATGTTAAGCTTTTATAATTGTAACTCTCAATAAAGACTCTAAAATAACATATATATAGATTTGTTTAACAAAATACAATAATATAAATAAAATTTATTTATTTATTGTCCATATTAAATAGAAAATCATAGTCAAAGATATATTTTGGGATCGTGTCATTGTCCAAAATGTTAAGATTGTGGAAGGGGAGGGAGTATGTAAAAAGATTCATTAGACCCATACTGTATTTTATCCCTCTATTTTTTTCCAGCCCATAAGGCATTGAAGATTTTGCAAAGAAAAGTTCAAAGGTACGTAAATGGAGTAATTGTACTATATCCAACCAACCAGCTCACATATACTCCCTCCGTCTTAAAAAATCTTAACCTAACAGAAGATGTCTAGATTTATTGTACTAGTAGGGGTCACATCCCCGCTTAGTTTGAGTTTTTTTTTACGGAGGATGTAACCCCGTTGACTTTTTCACCCTGCAAGTCATCAAATGCTGACAGACATGTCACATGGTTGCACGGGCACAAAGCCCTGCCCAGTATTGCTAGTGATTTCTGGCATTTACTGTTCTCCATGCAATGTAACCAGTGCTTAATTAGGAGTTAGCACTAATCCCACCCTAAAATTTTTCACCCTATTACATCGAACGTTTGAACACCTACATGAAATATTAAATATATGCTAAAAAATAACAAATTGCACATATTACGACTAATTTGAGAGACGAATCTTTTAAGCCTGATCGCTCCATAATTTGACAATGTGATGCTACAGTAAACATTTGCTAATGATGAATTAATTAGTCTTAATAAATTCGTCTCGAGGTTTACCGACGGATTTTATAATTAGTTTTTTTATTAGTGTCCGAACACCCCATACGATACTTTATATAATATCCAATGTGACACGCCAAAATTATGCACCCCTAATCTAAACACCCCCTATCTTTGGAATCAACAAGTGCTAAACAACTCAGAAATCTCTTACATCCAGGCATACGTCAGCTAATACAGAAGGCCGATTGTTTCCACACAGCTTTGTGTGACAGCATGAATGGAATTAGATTGCGTGCAAATTGTGAGACGAATCTTTTAAGTCTAATTGTGTCATGATTTGACAATGTGGTGCTACAGCAAACATTTGCTAATGACGGATTAATTAGGCTTAATAAATTCGTCTCGCAGGTTTCCAGGCGGAATCTATAATTTATTTTGTTATTAGTCTACGTTTACTTTAAATGTGTGTCCGTATATCCGATGTAACATGCCAAAAATTTTCATTCGCGAACTAAACAAGATATTTCCTCCATCCTAAATTAAGTTAATTTAACGTGAGATACTAAGATGTGATATATTCTAATACTATGAATCTGGACAGGTGCAAGTGTATATTCATAATATTAAGACATGTCAAATTACGTATTAAATTAACATATGGGATGGAGGAAATACCCTCAAGAGGGGCTAGGTGACCATTTCAACCGAGTTTTTCATAAGTACGCTTCTTATTATTTTCTAGATAATAACAAATCAAGATATTATATGTTGTTTATAAAGGCTTGCGGTATATGCATGGATGCATGAAGTAATAGTCCATTTACTCTTATACATAGATAACGGATAGGCTTAGAATCGAAAATGGATACTAATATATATGATGATTATTTAAAAATAATTTTAAAAATATATATGATGATCCATTGGGAATAAAAGAGTAATACTTACTCCCTCCATTTTAGTATAAATGCAACCTACTCCTCATTTGGGATTGCAGGAGTAGTATAGATGTGATATTTTCTAGAAATTCGTAGTACTCGGATATATCATACTTATACTAGGTTACACTTATATTGGGACGAAAGGAGTATTTAATTGTCTTAATTATTCGTTAAAAAACGTGCCCGCTCAACTGATCCATACGGAGTAGTTCAATGTAACATGGTGGCTCCCAGCAGTAGAAAGAACATGATGCATTGCTGAGAAAACGAACTCCGCGAACCACATGTCGACAACGACAATAGGCATATGATATTCATATTTAGAAGTTGCTTTATTTAAATATCTAAAACCAATACAAACTCTAATCCTGCCACTTCCTTCTCAACTGGAACAATATTGGACACCCAATCCACATATCTACACAGCCTAATAAATCCCACCTTCAACAATAGGTCTATCTCTTTCTTGACACGATCGTATATGTTAGGATATAAGGCCTAAACCCCGATTTTATTGGAAGCCGATGCTAAACAAGCTCATGGCTATGTCCCGTGCTTCTACTTTCGAGCCTCATCGAAACCTTGAAATTTCGCAGAATTCGACCGGTTTTTATCAGAACTGTGAACCCTATTAGTATTGTGGCCTTTAGAAATATGCTTAGGCCCCATTCTAAACTACAATTCCAAATTACCTTCTTGTTTTTCATTAGCGTGTCCATAACTGCTAAATGGTACGTACATACATACATACATACATATACATATATACATATATATACATATATATATATATATACATACATATATACACATACATATATATATATATATACATATATATATATATATATATATATATACATATATATATATATATATACATATATATATATAGCTCATATGGGGCACCATGGTGCCCGGGCACCATGGTTTCAAATGCACAAAATTACTCAAATTTTTCAAAATTTTTAAATTGTGAGTATATACCTAGTTATAAGAATTCGATTCATACATATATCTATCAACAAAACAACTCAAATTTAACTTTATTTCACAATTCATGATTACATACCTAACTAATTATATGTATGGATGCTATATACCTAGAATCAAAATCTAACAAAAACAAGTTCAAATTCAGTTCAAACTTGCTTTGAACTAGTTAGTAAAGTAGTTAATGTTAATACCTAAATAATTGAAAAAGTTTCATACTCATTTGAATTGGTTAATACTCAATTTCAACAATGGTGCCCGGGCACCATGGAGCACCAAACAAATTTACTATATATATATATATATATATATATATATATATATATATATATATATATATATATATATATAAGAGTTTCTAAGAGAAGAATTAAACAAATTTAATTTAAAGTTTATAAATCTCATGATATTCTCATGCAAAGCAATCGACATACTTAAGCAACTCGATTACTTTAACTTTGTTTTTTCTTCTCTCTCCCCTCTCCTCCATATCAGCACAAATGTGATATAGCAATTTGTACACCCCATGCAATCACCTTATTATACTCACTCTTAACATATAGATTTTACCTTGATTTTTGTTAGCGTGCTTTTAAAACTGCTAAATGGTACTCCCTTCGTCCCATAATATAAGGCATGGTCAAGCTTAGCACAGTCTTCAAAACTAATCTTTGACTTATAATTTCTCATATACTATAAATTTTATTGCAACAAAATTATAATCATCTTAAAGTAAATTTAAATGTCAATCGAATGATAATAATTTTAGCAAATAAAATTTAATTTATATTATAATAATTGCTGGTCAAATGTTTTTAAAGTTGAATCTTGAAAAGTGTGCACGTCTTATATTATAGGATAGAGGGAGTATATTTCTACGAAAAATTTTTATATATAAGTTGCTTTAAAATACCATAAAAATTTAGTTTTCAAATTTGTAATAATAAAATTTAGTTAATCATGCGTTAATGCTTTTCTAGTTTTCCATGACCTAACTGCATCTTCATTTTCATTTTCAGTGGAAATGAACATCGCCGTGTGTAGTACAGACATGGAGTATCATTTTCATTGCACTTGTTGCTACATGAGGCACAGCACCTGACAACCGCAGGCTCCAGTTCATCTAAAAACACACAACAGGTGATATTGCTGACATTAATTAACCGCGTGTGACACGGTATCCATGCCATTCTGAAACGGGTAAACGTCAGCTCTGCCGCCAGATTCACCACTGGCAGTACTGGCACTGGACCAAGAGTACTTGGCATCGATCCCTGCATGGTACAGCAGAGCCCACAGGTGCGTGATGAACTCGCCGCCGTCGCCGAGCCCCTTCTCGTGGGCGCCAACGCTCCCAAACGGCGCGAGCGATATCAGCAGCTCCGACCAGAACTCCGCCAGCTCCGTCCACATCCCCGGCTCTTTAGACGACTTGTTGAGCTCCCGCCCTTTTAGCAGCGCCGCCGCGAGCGCCTCGCCTTTTCTTATCATGCAATCATCGCCACCACAACTCCTGTCACAGCTGCTGTCATGCCTAACCAATGTCTTGCAGGTATGCCTAACAGAGGTGTTGCCAACCGGCAGCAGCTTCGGATTGTAGAACACCAGGTAGGCGCAGTACTTGGACAGCGCGGTGGCCACCTGATAGCTCTCGACGGGTTCATGCGGCGATTGCTGCTCAAGTTTGCACGTCGCGACGTGCCACACGACGATGGTCTCGATCTCCGCTAGTTGGCAGTACGTCAAGAGCTCCTCGCTCTCGGCCTGTAGCTTGCTTCTTGTGAGCAGACGCAGACCCTGAGTCAACTGTTTCCTGTTGCTCAGAAGCGTCTCGCATAGCGCCTTCTCCACGGACTCCGGAACCGGCCGGAGGCTCTTGCCTTTCTTGATGCGGTAGTCTTTGTCGTCGGTGAGCAGGATAAACGATCTCACCATGTGGTACAACCTGACGATGCGTTCAGGGATGTAGCCTTTCTTCGCCCCGTTGAGAAGGTCGAACTGTCCTAGGGAGCTTCCGATCGTCTCAGCTAACTTGCCGTGGCATACCAACCACAGAATACGGTCAAGGAGACAGCATCGCACGTACCGTTTCCGGACGTATTCAGAAACAACCATAACCTGAAAACGCAGATCGAGTTCAGAGGACATATACTTTGTCGGGAAACTCTCATGAAAATGCACGCATTTTCAGTGAAAATATTGTTTGCTCCATAAGAAATCAGCTAGGCCTTTTTTTAGTTTGCTCCATAAGAAGTTTAGAACCAACATGAAAAATGCATACATCGATTCTAATCTTGAGGGGTTGCGCCCTTGTATACAATTTTTTTCTCTCAAATTCAATGCAAATGATTGTGAAAAAAATCTAAAAAGTTTTGTCAATATAGAGTAGAATGACATCTATTACTTGGCAGCAAATAAAGTTCAAATTGAATTATACATTGAGAAGGAAAAAAGAAAGATAAATTTGACTATGAATAGTACCAGTACTGTTTGTACACTAGATTTGTCTTATTTAATTTTTAATATGTGAGCTGAGTTTACATTAAAACTTTTTTTTCGCGAACGCACATTAAAAACTTTTGAGGCATACAATAGACGACGATGGATTAATTTAACACATATCTCGCATTGTTCTTAATATATATATTGGTCAATTAATCAACTTTTTTTCAACTGGCCGGCGTAAACTAGCCAAAATTTTATTAAGCAAGAGAAAAAGGCGTACAGTATATACTCTCCCGGACTTTAGTCAAAATCAAACTGCTTTTAGTTTGGAGAGTGAGACATTGTATTGTGTCTATGTTGCGATTGGACAAAAACGCTCGACTGTGGCACAATTAGTTCAAATTCTTTCAGAAGCGAATGCTTTGGAATATTCCATTCTTGTAGCAGCCACCGCTTCGGATCCTGCTCCTCTGCAATTTCTGGCCCCATATTCAGGGTGTGCCATGGGGGAATATTTCCGCGATAATGGAATGCACGCATTAATTATATATGATGATCTAAGTAAACAGGCGACTAAATTTATAAAAAAAATAGTAATATTTTCAATCAAAAATTTATTATAAAAATATATTTAAATATTAATTTAATAAAACTAATTTGGTAATCTAAATATTACTATATTTGTCTATAAACGTAATTAAATTTAAAGCAGTTTAACTTTTACCAAAGACACTATTTTTTATAATCTGAAACGGAAGAAGAAACAGAAGTAGTTTGTAACGATATGGTTGCTGAGCGTTGCCTAACGAGAACGCGCAACCAGCCTAGCACCAGCCGTGCGCCTACTCCTTTTTTTTTTTTTTGAGTTACAGAGTCGACGTACCGCTACCGGCTCCCTACGGATCATTCAAGTACTATAGAACGATTGATTCAGAGCGTATTTCTGCTACCAATTTAACGGTGAGAATTAAATATTCTCTAGTCTTGTTTAGTTCTAAACTTTTTATTCAAACTTACAACTTTTTCATCACATCAAAACTTTCCTACACACATAAATTTCTAACTTTTTCATCAGATCTTTTTAATTCCAACCAAACTACCAATTTTGACGTAAACTAAACACACCCAAAGTAAAGGCTTTCTATAATGCCATCAATACGTAACCATGCATGTGACAGGCTTTTGGACTAGTTTAAAAAATAGCGCTCTCTTGTACATGAATAAAATATATCCTACATATAAAAAACCAATCACGTTGAGATTAAGCTTGTGCAGTGGCGGACCTAGACTGAGAAAACTAGAGGGGACAAGGCGTCAAGGTCGAATGATTTAAATTTGTAGTACATCGAAAGAGCTACTTAAAAGCTTAATCACTTAAAGAACCAATAATCATGACTAAGCTATAATATAGTAGGATTGGTAGCTTAATTGCTGGAGGAAGCAAAAGCACTGCCCCTGAGCATGTGGACTATATCATTTTCTTTTTAAAAAAAGTTGTGGACTATATCATTTAAACAGTGTGGTCTTGATAATCTCTTTTCCTTTTATGAATGGGAAAAAAATCTTTTAGTCATAGATAAACTTGTTCGTATGAAAATGCAATAATTATCATAGTGCCCAAATGTTTATACTCCACTACAAAAAGGTTAAAAAAGAAGGAAAATGTATGAGATACCTTGGTCCAGTCGGAGAAGAGGTGCATGAAGAACTCGCATATGTCCATCGCCGTAACCATGAACACAATAACAAAAGTGATAATCAGATCCACGTTCTTGCCGTTGACCAAGTTGGGCGTGCTCTTGCGGGGAATCCGGTAGTGGTGGATCGCTGACGAGATGATCCACAGTGACACGCCGAGCGTCGCTGCGAACAGCACGACGCTGACGACCGGAAAGCCGTAGCTGAACAAGATGGGGTACTTGGTGAAGCTCATGTCTCTCGCAAAGCCAAGCTCTGCCCGGACAACTCGAAACGTCCGCTCCGGGTCCGGGATGAGGCCGTCGAAAACGAGCTTCTGCGCCTTGCTCCGCTCGTTCTCCGACGCATTAACGCCGGCGAACTTCCGCCTAAGCAGCTTGCACAGCGCGAAGGACAGGCAGATGTCCTTCAGCTTGTCGCCGCGATTATCAGTCTTGAGGAGCTCCCCCTTGCACGTCCACACCTTATCGACGGTGACGACGACCACCGTATCGTCCGCTTCTTGAGTTTGTCTAATCGGCGGCGTCAACTTTGGCTCGTAGGTCATACCATCGACGATCGTGGTTTCCAACTTGGAGTCGCCAACGATAAGGTACTTGTAGTCCTCCATGGAGAAGCCGCCAGCTTCAGCGTCTGTGTTGCTCAACTCGTGCTCGTGCTTCATGTAGTCCGCGACGCGGCTGGTGTTCCCGTCACCGTACTTTCGGTTGCCGTTCTTGAACAGGACGATCCGCTCCAAGAACTTGGCGACCATGAGTGCCCAGAGCGCCCAGAGCGGGTACCGGAACTGCGAGGCATGGGAGTAGTACCGGACGTAGAGGCCGAGCACCACAATGTTGCTGCAGCGCGTGAACTCGTGGACGGCGAGGTCGGAGAGGCGGGCGGAGACGCCGTAGCCGGAGATGGTGTAGACGCCCTCGTAGCCGGCGAGGAGGAGGATGCCCCAGAGCAGGTAGAGGTCGTTGCGGAACGGCATGGAGAGCAGCATGGCGAACATGCTGACGAGGAACCGGGTCACCGGCTGCGTCACGGCGAAGAGGAACCCCTTGATGAGGTGGCTGGAGCTCCACAGCCGGTGCCGCGACGCCGTCAGGAAGTAGGCCAGCGCCAGCGCCACCGCCACGAAGCAAGCCTTGGTCTCCACGATGATTCGCAGCGCCTCCACCGAGACCAGCCCGTCCACATTGCTGCAGTGCCGGTACTTGAGTGGCGGTGGCGCCATCACTGCCGGAGTGGATGCCATTGCAGTGTGAGCTTAGCTCCCAACTGAGGAAATGGATATTATACTGCGTGTACAAGTGACTGTCAGTCTGGCACGATGGATATATATATATATATATATATATATATATATATATATATATATATATATATATATTAAATTTGTTTGGTGCTCCATGGTGCCCGGGCACCATTGTTGAAATTGAGTATATACCCAATTCAAATGAGTATGAAACTTTTTCAAACACTCATATGGGGCACCATGGTGCCCGGGCACCATGGTTTCAAATGCACAAAATTACTCAAATTTTTCAAAATTTTTAAATTGTGAGTATATACCTAGTTATAAGAATTCAATTCATACATATATCTATCAACAAAACAACTCAAATTTAACTTTATTTCACAATTCATGATTACATACCTAACTAATTATATGTATGGATGCTATATACCTAGAATCAAAATCTAACAAAAACAAGTTCAAATTCAGTTCAAACTTACTTTGAACTAGTTAGTAAAGTAGTTAATGTTAATACCTAAATAATTGAAAAAGTTTCATACTCATTTGAATTGGTTATATACTCAATTTCAACAATGGTGCCCGGGCACCATGGAGCACCAAACAAATTTAATATATATATATATATATTATATACACGAACACCCTGACAGAATGACAGAAACCATAGCACTTTGTTTACCGTAATAACCAATTGCGTGTGGAAGCGACTCAAGCGAGTCAACTGTGCATCATTAACTGTGTATGATTGTGTCGTTTGCGCTCCGACGTGCAGGTCTTTTAAATTTAAGAGCAGGGATGCTAACTAGAAGCTTCTAACAACTAATTGAGGAGCTATTCTCAATGACTTTCCCTGGTCTTAATTTCTTACTCATCTGTCAGCTTCCTCCATTCTTCTTGACAACAATCCTCCACAACAATCCTCAACACACACTGACACACAATGAAACTATTTCTCCCTAGAAAATCATTTTTATTAATACAGCCAGTAGCAAATCTAGAATTTAGCATATGGGTAGTCCGACCTAATTTTTTTTTTCTAAACATAATAAATCTAACGATACTAATATATACAATGCAAGTATAAATAATAAAATAGACCAAATTACCAAAAACTTACCATGATATATTAACAAAACATCTTAAAATATATAAAATTAGTAATTAAGTAAAAAATTTATTTAAACAAGCTTGTACGGCTATGAAAGTTTAAAGAAAATTACCGTATTACTTTTTCTTCTTATCGGTTCTACGTCTTCTAATGGCTATGAAAGTATTAATTATATCCTCTCCATCCACTTTAAAGAAAACATCCCGCTCAATGAATGTGACTAGACAATCATCCAAAAGGCCATCACCCATCTTATTTCTCAACATCTTGTTCTCTAGTGTGCTCCTCAATCACAACCGGGGAAGAAGGCAATTTAAAAGCATTCTTCTTTTCTGCATGTTTTCGAAAAAGCGATGCAATATCTCCATCTTTCTTTATGATTCAACAATCTACAATACAATACTACAATTTAATCTCACAATGCATAAGAGTTCAAGATTTTAAAACTAAAAATTGAAAAGGGTAGACAAGTAGAAAACCTACAACTAAAATTGTTGCCTTGTGTTGGCGCGGGCGGCTGATCGGCTCGACGACGGCTCCTCACGGCGGCGGCCGCGGCACACGAACAGCAGTCAGGCGTCAGCAGGTCAGCACCAGGTCGACGCGGCGTCGCGCCGCGGCGGCGTGGGCGTGGGGGCGCGGGCGCCGCAGCAGGTCGCGCGTGGGCTGGGCGGCTGGCGGCGGCGTGGCTTTGCCTCTGTGATCGGCCGGTTGCTCGCGTGTCGCGTCACGGCGTGGTCTCGTCGCTGTGGCTAGGGCAGTGGCTAGGCTAGGGCGATGAGGAGAGACCGAGAGAGACAGATATAGAGTTGCGTGATCGCGTTGGATCGATTCGATACGTAGTTACGTACGCGCGCGTGTGGGGCCTGTGGTGCCGTCGTTAGAGCCTGGGGTAGGGAGGGCGTGCGGCTAGCGAAGGGGATTATATCGCTTCTTTTTTTTCCTTTCGCTGGGCCTCTGTGCCGTTCTTTTCGCTGGGCCTGTGGTGCGTCTTCTTTCGCTGGGCCTGTGTGCCGTCGTTAGGGCGTGGGGTAGGGATGGGATAGGGAAGGGGATTATATCGCTTCTTTTTTTTCTTTCGCTATTTTTTTTTAATAATAGGGGAATCCATCGCTGTTTTTTATTGTATCCGCCATTGAATATAGCACAATTAGTTCAAATCCAGCCAAAATTTGTTCGAATTTTAATTATTATTTTTGGGGGCCTGAAATTTTAGAACCCCACCCCACCTCCCCACCAAAAAAATGCCTTTCCACAATGATATAACCCTGCTTGCGATAACAAGAGATAGGCAACTATTGTTCATACGTCAGAACTTTCTTCCAAAAAGCGATTCTTTTTATGGCGGAATAAGTCTATTTTGTCTCCCTTCTCTTGTATTTGGTCTAATCACATACCTCAACCGCAAAATCAGATATAACGCATCCCCAAACTTAAAAACCTGTGCAAATTGATTATTTCGGTGGTTTTGAAAGCAATTTTGCTGACGTGACAATGTTAAATTGATCCAAGTATACTGACGTTAATTAGCCAAAATTAATTGACCAACAAAACTAAATAAAAAAACTAAAACCGTATAGTATTCTTTTAGATCCGGCACGAGAGCATAGCACTAGTTTACAAATTTAGCCACGAAAACGAGCGTGCAACCTGCTAATTAACATTAATAGATTTTATGATGAAGAACCACACCAATCCTAGACCCATCAATGTTCATTGTCGTTCATTGGGTAGTACCTAAGTCTTGCAGACTACCAGTACATCGTTATACCAAGGCAAACTAAATAGTACATGTACAAGAGCATGTACAAGATCAGTTGTACATTTTTTATTGTTATACCAAGGCAGCACTTCTTGAGATGGAACAGCTTACATTGACATCGTGTTATCGCACCAACACGAACTTGCGACCAAGTTTCATGGACCTTTCCCTCCATCGCTTCTTCATGGCAGCCGTCCAACTAATCTTCACCTGTAGCTTATAAGGGCCTTGCTCGAGAGTGCATTCTTCATCATTTTGTCCTAGATAGAGCTCAAATTCAGCCTCGTCTTCACCCTCAAAAACACATATGTTGAGCACAAGTATATCTTCCAGTTCAACAGCTACAAAACGACGAGTTAACTCGACAGATCCATCAACCCCAAGTACTGTCTTAGTGCCTGCCACTTTACTCTCATACAGAACGATTTTGTTTTCATGGTCTTCAGTTGTCCAAGCAGTTACTTTGCCATTGAAATTGGATACAACCCCTTGAATGTTGACTGCAACACAAGCTTCTATGGCTGATTCAACAGGCGAATACACCAAAATGACAGTACTCAGACAGCTTCGTAGCCATAAAGTCACGGGTCGAATTAGACAAGCATCAGCATGGTGTTCACGCACACCTTTGCAAAAAACTTTGTCAACATCACCATCCACCCTAACCTTCAGATGGAACTCAAAATACACTCTATCTAATGCACCAAGTGCACGATTAGGTCCTGTCAGTGTTAGTGTATCCTCCTGCACATGTATCAGTCAAATATAAAACGCTAGCAACATTTTGAAACTCTTATATATATGTTCAATTGAGCAACACACCAACCAATGAAAAATTTATAATTTCCTCATTCGAAAAATGACTTCGGATAGTGACAGTAACTCGTAAATATAAACCACTTTTAATTTCTATTACGGATTTTTGAAGTTCAATATTACAAATCCCTTTCCTTACTTCTTTCAAGCACAACATGTGTTTTTTATATATTTCACGTTCTAGTGAATATAACATATGTCAATTTGATAGGCGCTAATTACTTGAATGCATGCACAGTTAAGCTTGGAAAAGTACATTAACATGCATTAATGCTTTTTTCCTGCATTTACTGTTGGAGAGAAGCAAACATATTTTTGTAAAAGTAAATAATTTCTAATAATCAAGGACCAAATTTTGTCATAAGTTTTACCTCATTGAAAAACTATTTAGTAAACAAGGATCAAATGGTTCATAGCAATATGGTATTAAATAGCAATTTGGATTTGATCAGTAAATAGTATTAATCTAGTAAGGAGGGGATGAATTGGTTACAAACCGGTGAAGTGATGAGCTGGGGATCATCCCTGTCACGCCTGAACAAATAGACACACCTGAAGTCATACTCATCCCTAGCCAACACAGTGCCAAATACGCTGATAGGGTAACCCACATCAGACTCGGTCACCTTGATAGATGAGATATTCATAGAGTGCACCATCCATGTATATTCCGAGCAATTGAGCGATTTGACCGGTGGCCCACGCCCAAGTTTTGCTGTAATGAACAGATACAAATATTCAAATAGTTAGAGAGGATGCATACAAATATTGCTTGGACAATACGGATACTACACACAAGGATGATACTCGAATGGATGTACTCACACTCTTTATCAAGGTCAAATAAGGCTATGTTCCGAAAGCAAAATCGGGTAGGAACATAGCGACCCAGCTTGAGGTTGTACTCAGTGATCTCCCGGCAGCGAGCCATGTGAAGAACCTCAACCACCTTAATGAGCTCCGACTCCTCCTTCACAGAAGCCATGTGACCTTGCTCAAGCTCCTTGGCAGCAGCCATATCACCTAGCTCGACATCCCTAGCGTCCCGCTCATGCACCACGTCCCTCATCTCGGTGTTATCAACATCCATAGTGCACCGCTCATCCACATCCCTCATCTCGTTGTTGTCCCCATTCTTGTCACTCGTGTGTTTTGTGAACGGACTTCCAATCATAGCTGTATAAAAAACATTGTAGTGAGATGGACAAGCTCAGAGGGATTTATAGATATAAATATAATACATATATGCTGACTCAATCAGATGAGCAAATAAGAAAAAAAATAAACAATATTATAATATACTTACATAAATCTTTCTCCAAATCGATGCGACGACGACCAGAACAATCCACAGGTAGAGCCTTCCCCTCCAGTGTGAGCTCCCGCTTACGGTTAGTCACAAGAACCGGCAGATTCTGTCCATCCACAGCCGCGGCCGCCGCACCACCACCATCGGTGTCCATACCGACCTGCTTGCTCGAGTCCGCCATCTTTGCTGCTGAAGCCGATGAAGAAGAAAAGATACATGGGTGAGATTGATTGAGGGAGAGTTCTTTCCTTTGGTTGTGGCCACGAGAGAAACACGATAAATATAAGGGACTGCCTTAGTTGTGTCACTAATTACACTAAAATTTCCTAGCGTTAGAATATAATATGGGAGAGAAGAAAAAACAACACAAAGCAAAAATACAGTTAGTAGAAGTCATAACTAACAAAACTAGGTGTCAGCCATAGCTAACAAAACTAGGAATTCCTAGTGACCAACATCATTACTCATTGTCAGTGAACTAACAAAACAAGGAATTCTTAGTATCTAACGAAACAGTATGTACAAATTTCACATAGCTATTTATATCGACTGGTCATGATTTTAGGAGATGACAAGACTAACAAACTAGGTGTCGTTAATAGCTAACAAAACTAAACACTAGTAGACGATAAAACTAACAAAACTAAGAACTTCTAGTAGCCGACAGAATTACGCATTTTCAGTGAACTATCAAAGCTAGCAATTCCTAGTATCTAACAAAACAATATGTGCAAATTTTGCATAGCTATTTAGATCGACTGGTCATGCTTTTAGGAGATGACAAAACTACGTACTGTTAGTAATAATATTACTAGTTGACAAAATTAAGTACTTTTAGTGAACTTAATTAAAACCCTGCATTACAAAACCGACACAATGTACTATATTTTCTTGATTACACAACAGAACCAGACTATGCTAGATGAAATTTAAACAAAATAAATAAATCATAAATACAAAACTAGAGCAATGTCTGGAAATTAACTAGAGTAACATGTAAATCAGAAAAATATAAAACTTTAACACGGAATACTAATTACTCATAATAGCTAAAAAGAGAGACCTAGCTGTCAAGACATTAGAAATCAAGCACTGTTAACTACAAAGTCACTAGCTTGTCCAGTTGTCATTATGAAAATCTAACTGATGCAAGACCTGTATTCCAAAGACAATATATTGCTGCAATTTTCAGCACTTGAAAATTTCGGAAGATATCAAAAACTCTATCTTTATATAGCAATATGTAAAGAACGGAAAACCAACCATACAGTGTAAGACAATCAAACAAAACAATCTTCAGAGAGAATTCTTGGCTGGTTTGCTTGTGCCCTGCCAGGAAGGGGCAGATCTAAAAGCAGCCAACGAGAACTCCCCCATCCCATCCCCCTTCCCCTAACTCCATTATTCATTCTCTCTGAATGAGATCAGAAGCCTCTACCTCCCTAACTCCATTCTCTCTAAAGCAGATCAGAAGAAAGAAAAGAAATATATCAATAATCCTCCATTATTCATTCTCTCTGAAGCAGATCAGAAGCCTCTACCTCCCTAACTCCATACTCTCTAAAGCAGATCAGAAGAAAGAAAAGAAATAAATCAACAATCTTTATAGATCAGACAACATTGCCAATAACAAAGGTTCTGCAGCGATCCTATTAGTATGATTGGCAAAATCAAATTTTATGACAGAGCGTGGGGGCCAAACCAACATGAAACTGAGTACAAACAATCCCTAAACTCCATTACGAATCAGAGAAATTCGGAGCAAGAAGCTAAAGCTAACAAAAGTACCTCGAAAAGAGGCGTGTAGAATCCGATAGGCACGCCGGTGGAGTCCGTCCTGGCTGCCGCGCCCACCTGGAGGAGTCGTCGGTGCGTCCGTGCCACGGCCGGCGCGGCGGAAGCGAGAGACCCGCAAGTACGGCGTTGGTGAGAAAGGGAGACCAACGGCTGCGACGAGGACGCCCCGACGGAGGAGGAGTGCGAGGGCGCTGGCACTCCGGCGGCGGCGGCGACCAGTGGGATGGCGCAGCTGTTCCCCCTCACTCCGGCCAGATTCGGGTTAGGGATAGTGATATGGATTGCGATTGATAACGCGTCCTAAAAGATTTGATCGAGGAGATTTGTTGCAATTTCATCGCATCCGAAAATGATCGGGGAACATACAGTTGCCTCGGACGCCGCAGCTCAGAGGAGGAAAGAGGCGGCGTCGCGGCAAGGAATAAGAAAAGCAACCTGATCGGACCCCTCCACATTGATTGATGCAATGCGCCAACACAAATTTTGCCAATCAATTCCATGAATCAAGGCTAATCAAATCCTGTGAATCGACCAAATCAATCTTTTTTTTCTCTTTGGATAAAATCCTTTTGATCTTCTTCCCTACAATGCCGTTATAGAGTAGTACTCCACTCCATATTAGTAATAGACAAAAAAAAAAAAAAAGACCTTAAGTCAATTCAAGAAGCTATGGGCACGCCAGCGGAAAGGCTAACGGACGATCGATCGCTACCAGCAATCGTTTTTCTTCCTTTTTTTTCTTTTTTTTCTTTTTCCTCTCTCAGTAAGTTTATACACTTACTAAGTTTATAAGTCGAAAGTTTATATACCCGATTCAAATTCAAATTTGAATTCAAATATTTTATATTTTCCTCTTTTACTAAGTTTATATACCTAAAGTTTACACATCTAAAGTTTATCCACCTAAAGTTTGTAGAGCGAATGTTTATAAGTCAAAAGTTTATATTCCCGATTCAAATTCAAATTTGAATTCAAATATTTTATATTTTTCTATTTTAGTAAGTTCATACACCTATAGTTTACATATCTAAAGTTTATCCACCCAAAATTTGTAGAGCGAATGTTTATAAGTTAAAAGTTTATATACCCGATTCAAATTCAAATTCGAATTCAAATATTATATATATATATATATAATATTTCTATACACAAAATTTATGCATGCAAAGTTTACGGTATAAAGTCTATGCACAAGAATGAGAGTAGTATATTTTTTTTCCTGATTTTCTTTTACTAATTTTTTTTAAAAAAAATTTATAATGTAATAGAAAAGTAAAAAAGAGAGATGAAAGAGGAGTATTAGTAGGGAGGACCGGGTTATGGCTAGGAAGAGAGAGGAGCGATCACCCGCCCACTAGCAAGTAGTAGCAACCCCCCTGGCCGCTGACCTCTTCACCCCTTTTCCTCTTTCGGATGTTGATAAAAGGCACTTTCTGAGCGACACTGTCCGAAGCAACTCTTCAAGAACCCAAACCGGAACACGGACGGAACCAGATTCGGTCATGGGCTCATGGCATCCGCATGATGGGACTCTCGAGTTGCACAGCACCAACCTCCAAATAAAAACCGCAGCCCTCCCCCCTCTAATAACATCGCACAGCGCGTCACAGTCGACGAAACCCGCGGCTCGCAGGAAGAAAACAAAGCAGCAACACATCAGACGACTACCTGTGGAGATTATGGATACCCCATATCTGTATGACAGTTATACTTTAGTCGGATATATGGTACCAAATATAGATAGAATATCTTTATGAGGACTCGGGTTAGTTTTTAACTTGTATGTCAAGGAAATACCCGAGATCCTAGTCGATTACGATTGTATTTTATCTATAATCCCATATTCCGTTAGGATATGGACTGTATTTTGTAAAGCGGATTCCTTCCCCTATATAAGGAGGGTCCGTGTGCCTCTTGGGGCACGATTCTTTTTTCTAGTTTACACAATCAATAACACACTCGGCGGAATCATCCCCGGACAGGAGTAGGGTATTACTTCTTGAATAAGAAGGCATGTGTAACGCTCCGCTTTTCGTGAGACGTTAAAAACTAATTCGGCAAAAATCCTAATTGCGAAAATTTCGTTCCTTGAGTGTTGAGTCTAAGTTGTGCCAAAGATTTCAATTTAAATCCCTCCCTTGTCTCGATACCCTGTTATCAAAGATCGTCTCCTCAAAATTTCCATCCCAATGTAGTCCCGAAGCTCGATTCCTTCTATTCGGAATCCCCTCCTGGAACCCCATCCGTGAACTTTGTCGAATGCCCGAACCCTAACTCCGTCCAAGGATTCACCTTCGCGTCATAAACTCTCTCCTTGGTTCCTTCAAACCGATTCTCAAATTCGAATTCAACCTCTCAGGTTTTGATTCATCTATCTTTCTCTCTGTATTGGTTCATCAATCTACCCTTGTTTTCTTTCTCGAACTTCTGACCCAAGTCTGAATATGCAAATCGAGATCACTTCCACCCTTGAACTCTAAACCCCAAGATTCAATCCCTTTCGCCTTGAGTTCTCCCCAAAATGATTTCCGTTTCGAAATAACCTCGAAGTCCGAACCCTTCTATTCAGACTTCTCTCCAAAATCCTTACCCACATATCTCGTTGAGTAGTCAAACTCAAACTCCCAAGTTACACTCTCTTTCTCTAAATTATCCATCCCCCTTTGACTCGTCTCCAAATATTGTTCCCTTCCTTGACTCCTTCCTATTCTCCCGAGACCGAGTATCAACCTCGAAATTCGAATCCAGACTCCAACTCTAAAACCTCCCAATTAAATCTCTCTATGAAAGTCTATTTAACCTCCCTCATAGGTTGGATTCCTTCTTCCTTTTTCCGGTCCACCTCTTCCTTCTCTTCCATCCCATCTCTCTCTGAGTCTCGATCTATCTATCTATCGATCGATCCATCTATCTATCTACTATACCTATCTATCTGTTTATCAATCCATCTGTCTATCCGTCCCTCTACCTATCAACCTACCTTTCTGTCTATCTATCTATCCATGGCATTCTACCGCTATCTCCCTTGTTCCATTTTTGAATAATGATCTTCCCTTTTTGAAATCCTCTGAAATAATCCTTCGTGCCGCCAAATATAAATCTATCCCAAAAATACCAAAATTCCCGCTTTTGAAGCCCTTCCTTGACCCCTCCCTTGGATCCACCTTGAACCCTCGTGTACAAATATACAAATTGAATTCAAATTCAATCTCCACATCAAATTTCTCTCCAAATCAAACCTTCCAGTAAAAGTCTATTTTGCCTCCCTCCAACTCGCTCGGGCCGAAACCATCCTCGGCCCATCCTCTTCTTTCGCCAGCCTCTCCATCGCACGTGCGCGGCACGTGACTCCCTCAGAGAGCGCCCTCTCTCTCTCTCTCTCTTTCTCTCTCTCTCTCTCTCTCTCTCTCTCGGCGTCGCTTCCCGCCGACGCCGCCCAAAATTCCGGCCGCCACCTTTGATTCCCGCGCGCCCGTGCGCGTGGCCGACCGCCTGGGCGCTGCCATCGCCACCCTCGGTCATCGCCTACCCCGATGACCACCGTGTCCGCGCTTGCCTTCAAACCGTCCCCGTCCTTTTGCAGTCGTCGCCGGCGTCATCCTCTCGGGCCCGGCGCCCCATGCCGCATGCATCCAAAACCGTGAGGCGCGGCTCGTTCTCATCCCTTTCCTCCCAAAACGGAAGGAGCAAAGCTCCCTTTCCTCCTCCTCCTTTCGCTTTTTCCCCTCCCGGGTAGCGAGCTCCCTGCCTCCACTCCTTGGCTTCTTGTTCAAAAGGCAGAGCCGCTGACGCCGCTGCAGCGCCTCGCCGCCCCCACCTTGACCGCACCCGCTCGCCCCGCGCCAATCCTCCCATGCTCGCGGTTCGATTTCCACCACACGATCCACCGCCTCCACCACCCTTTGCATCCTCGCCGTCGCTCGTTCTCGCGGCGCCCATGAACACCAGCCGAGCGCCAAGAAAACCGCGGCCACCTCGAACCGACCTTGCCGCTCCCACTCCGTCTCTATAAAACCCACCCCCTGTGCTTCCTCCCTCCCTTGCTTCGTTCCCCCCCCTAAGCGGCGGAGCCCTGCCGCCATGGGAACTCCTCGCCGTCGCGTCGAGCTCCATGTCCGGCGACATCTCGCCGTCGCACGGTCCGTCCGCTGCCGCCTCCTCCCTCAACCTCGGTCGCCGTCGCGCGGCCAACCCCGGAGCATCGCCGCCTTCTTGGTCGCCGCGGCCAAGAACGCCACCGCCGCGACCAAGGGCGCCATCGCATGCCTTCGTTCCCTTCCCCGGCACGCCCACCGTGACACGATGCCGCCTCGGCATCGCGTTCATAGCCGTGCGCCACTGCTCGTCCATGCGCCGCCATCGGCCTTCCCATCCTCAACTCGCCGCCGACGCCGTTACCTCCCATCGGTGAGCTCCCCACCTCCCTTTTCCGCTGTCCCAGCACTCGCGTAGCTCGCGTCGCGCGTGCTCTGTTTCCGCCGCCGTGCGCAATCGAGAGCCGCCGTTGGCCTCCCTCTCGGCGACTCCTCTAGCCACCGCCGTTCTTGAGTTCCCTCTCTACCTCCCCAAGCCGTTGTTTCAGCCGCCGGCCTCCCCTCTCGCCCTCGCGTCGCGTCGCCCGATTCGCCGCTGCCGCGCTCGGCCACTTCCGCTGTGCCTCCCCTGCCGTCGGCCTCCCTCCTCTCCTTGATTCCCGGCGCCGCCACCTTCCTCGGGCCCCCCCTCGACCTCCCCAACCCCTCCCCCTAGCCGCCGACCTTCCTCCTCGCTCCCGCGCCGTGCCGCCCCTCCCGCCGCCGCAAGGCGCCGCCGCGAGCCACAGCCCGGCGACCATCGGGTCCCGCGTCACCGCGTGTGCGCCGCAACCCCATACCGCGTCCACTAAGCCCGAGCGCGCGAGCCGCATCCCTTCCCATCGCGCATCCACGTCGGCATCCCGGCGAGCTTCGCCGCCACCGCCGGCCGTCGTCGCGCGTCGTCTCCCCAATCCGAGCCGTGGAATCGGTTCGCCTTGACCTCCTCTAGCCACCGGTGTTCATCGCTCGCTTCGGCTCGCCGCCGTTCGCCGGATTCCGCCGCGCGCCGTGAGCCGTCCGATGCCATTCCCGCCCCCTCCCTTTTCTCTCCCCATCCGACGTGGCTGCCCACGTGGTGTTGACCGGGCCCGCCCCTGCCCAGTCAGCCGGTCAGCCGTCCCCCTCCCCTCTCTCCCCTGGCTCGTGGGCTTGGCCCATTGGCCAGCCTTCCTCCTCGGCCTAACAAAACAAAGGAAGTTTACTTTTACTCCCTCTTCCGAGTCCGGTGCTCACACACCGAAGAGCTAAAAGTCCGCAATTGCTCCCTCCAATTGCTCCTCTCTCTCTCTCACCTTCTTATTGGCCCCACTCGTCAATGAGTCAAAGATAATCTTGAGAATGTCTTTTCCAATATTCCACAAATATTTCTCTCTTCTATAATTCAGTAAATCATTTTATCTTATTTCGTGGGTTAATAAATCTTTTTCCCTTGATCCCATAAATCAATTCTCTATTCCAAAATTTCATGAATCATTTTCCTTATAAATCATTTCCTTTA